TTTAGGCAAACGGTGGGCAGTAGTCTATTTCATTCGTGGTATGCAATTTAAGTACTTGCCTTCAACTTCCATGTCCACCACTCCCCCAAATAGCAAGGCTCGCCTCTTATGAACACACATGGAGAACCCTGCACGAGGTCCAGGTGGCATCCCACCTTTCTTTACCTATTAAAAGGATATGCAAATAATTGCAACAGAACAAATTAGTATTAGATATAAATTCCAAAAGACAAGATGCACAAGAAAAAGAAATTAGCTACTCTTTTGTTTTAATACTTACTTCATACAGATATGAAGTACTCAACAGTCTGAAAAAACTTGATCACAATCACATGTTAAAACAAAACTTGGTCTTTCCCTCTCTAATAAAAAACATGCGGCACTTTGATCATAAATGACGATTAGTCAAACCCCCACCCCTAACCCAAGGGCATGTTTTGTTCATTGGATTAAGAAGATAAATATTGCCTTCTACGCATGCACTTTTTCTTCCATGTGGAAACCCTTTTTTCCCAGGTTGCCTACTTCTGAGCCTCAACTTAGAAATGTTACGACTAAAATTTTCATAGGGTCAATATTAAAGGTAGAGAGACAAACTCTTATTCAATATAGTGGTGTTTTTAGAGTTTGGAAAGAAACGAAGAAAGGATGTGATAAGAACTCCAAAAGAAGAAGAAGAAGAAGAAAGAGAGGACGTGAAGAGTGGAACCCAATGTATGGACAAGTAAAGCTCAAAACCAAGACTGAGTATACACCTTATTCCATTGCCATGTCCTCGGGTCAAGGGACCACATGTCTGCATGCACAACTCCTCTTTCAGAAGTGTTCTTATCAGATTGAATTTCTTTAAAATAGCCACCATATAATAAAACCTGTAATTTAAATGAACATTTGAGGCGGTAAAGCAGAAAACTTGTGTCTGTAATGATATATTCAGGATGGTTAGATGCTTCTTGATCAACAAACCTCATCTTGGTGAACACAAAATTGAAAACCGCTTCGAGGAGTAGGCCACATTGCACCAGGACTAGGCTTTATTTCTTGCCACTAATAAAGCTTATGGTCAGTAGTCATCATTAAGTCATATCAAGAGAATAATTAGATGATGATATCTTAAAGGAGGGAAATTTTTTATAAAAGTTAGCTTCACCTTGTACTGATCCAGGTCAAATACATACATATCATTATAGTATCTGCAAAAAAAAAAAAAAAAAAAAAAAAAAAAAAAAAAAAAAAAAAAAAAAAAAAAGATAAAAGCTTTAGCGAGCAGATTGAAACCAAGATTCTTGTAAATGGAAAATAGCCAGAGAATATAAAACAGAAATATTTTCACATTATTTTTAAAAAATTTATAGGAAATACATATAGCCATTTCGAAAAAGACAAAATGCAGAAAGATAGATTACATAAAGTAAGTTTGATCTAAGTAGAAAATACCAAATTTACCTTCAACATTAATACCATCACAGACACACACAACCAGTTCAAAAGCGGTTCATAAGAGATAATTCATATGATGAGTTATAGAATCCACAAACCTCACTTCTCTCAGAGTGTCGTAGAAGCCACCAAAAATAATAATTTTGTGCTTGTATAAGACCTGAAACACAGCCAAGGATGTAAAAGAAAAGGAAAAGAAATAACCTGCAGAAATTAGAGAACCATGGCATCTAAAAATTACCATCCGGTGACCAGAGCGTGGACTTGGACAACCTTTTAAATTGATTTGTTCCCATTGATTTGTTTTCAGGTCCAACACCCAAAAATCCTATAAGTTTTGTGTTAAGCACGAAATCAAATAACAGTCTCGGAAGTCAACTGGTTGCTCGTAAGTTAACAATAATGAGCATGCACTTGCAAAAAGAATGCTAATGAAAATTTCACCTTGTAGTGATGAAACCTCTCTTGGTTAGAAGATGTAAACTCTCCACCTGATGGCCCAACAAAAGAAGTTAGCATAGTGCATGTTAAATACTAAAGCTATGTGCATTCACAATTGAACAGAGATTTTCACTAACCAAAAATATAGAGATAATTCTTCCAAGCAACGGCTTGATGAGCACTACGAGGAGGGGGGCTATTGGGACTCGAAATTACTTTCCACTCTAGTTTCTCGACGTCATATCGATACAGATCACCATAGACATATGTCTGTGCCAACTCAAGTTAATGAAGTGCAGGTGTAAGACCTGAATTAACTACTTCAAGCAAGACGTGCAGTCACACAGTGAATTATCAAGAACTTACCTTGGTACCATTGTAGAATTCACCCCCATAGAGAATCAACTCTGTTTCTTTCAAGGGATTGATGGTCAACTACACAATAATTCCAAAAAATTACAAATATTGATTCCATCATCAGCATAAAACAGAACACTAAGAAAGTAACATGATATTCCACGTGTAAGAGATGTACCGAACAATTGGATCGAGGAGATGGTGCAGGGACATTCTCCTCAACATGAACTTCTGTTTTCTTCGCTTCCTCCTTTTGTATACTCAACTGCAAGAATCCAATGAACAAAAATAACTCACTTGACCGACTTTTGATCACAGAAAGCAGAGAATGCCAAGTTCCTCATTCAAGCATGGCCATATAAAGTTAGTTGGACGATGCGTGACTCTCAAAAGTACCGTTTTTATTACACTTGTTCCTTTATTATCCTTCTTTCTCGCTTGGACATTTTAAAGTTAAAATATAAAAAATCCCAATTCTCAAATTATCTATTGAATGGAAGTAAACTGAAGTAACAACAACAACAACAACAACAAAAGTAAAGAAAACTCTACTTCCTGCATAAAAGTCTTAGTTTCATTAGCAGTAGAACTTATAACAAACACAAAAAAGCGCGCGTCCTAATTTTCAAAACTGCAAAAAGATGAATTGGAATAAAGCTGAATCATTAGTATATAAAAATTGATCTGCTTCCGTTTTGTACTCGCTACTAAGATACTAACAACAGATTAAAAGCTATAGCGAATAAAGAAACGTACAAGAATCGCATCGATGTCATCCTCGGGAGAAAGCTTCTTATTCTCCCTGCGAGCTCTCTTTTCCTCGGCTTTGGCCGTTTTCTTCTCAGTCTTCTCTTTTCCTTTTCCAGGCTTCTTGGCTTTCTTCCCCATTCGGATCACAACTCTCTGCCTGTGGAATCCCCTCTCAGGCCTCAGCTACAATTGCAAATTACAGTCGAATGCACGCGAAGAGCTTTCAGTTCTAACGATTGGAGCCCGGGAAGGAACTTTAATGCGGCGCGGCGCCTTACGAACAAGACGCTATGGACTTGTTTCTCGTTTCATAGATACGGTGTCGTTTTTGTAGTAATTGCAACTGTAAATAGGGATCCAACGCACCGTTTTACATTATTGGCTGACTTTATATGTTTACGTTTAATGTCAGTACATGATTTACTAATGACGTACCTAATTTGTATTTAAAAGTAAACCATAAAACATTTTCTTTAAATTAAATAAAAAACAAAATAAAAAAAACCGCTGGTAAATTAATAATTATAAAAATAAAAATAAAAAAATCCGGTCACCACTATTGGACCTTTCGTGTAGATGGACTTTGGTTAGAACTGTAGACGGCCCATTACTGGGACGTGACGAGCCCATATTACCCGAAACTAATGGGCCTATAAGACTCGACCGTATTTATTGATTGATTTATTGAATTACAGCTGTATTTTTTTCATTGGTTATCAAATCAATTGCAATTTTCAGAATGTCTTTCCATGAACTTCCATACATATATATATATATATATAAGAAAGAATGGAATATAAAATGTAAAGAAAAAGTTGAGGCACGTGAGTTGGGAAGGATATACAGTGCAGTATAGTCGGTCACGCGTGCCAGAAGAGACATTTTATGTATGTTATGTACTGAGGTACTTAAATTTCAGGCTGAAAAGCTGAAAACTGGAATGGAATCAAAAGAACAAACGTGAAAAGACCCAAAAAATACCCCATCATATATTACTTAATTACACATTCACAGATTTGGCATATATTTCTGGGGGCTCGTGTGAATTTTTTTGCTGTAAAAAAGTAAACGTTTCTGAACTTGGACGAGTCTTATTGGCTACGGTTTCATCCGTTTTTCAACCTTGGTTTTTACCGAACCCACTCACATTCGCGTTTACTACGGGTTCAAATGGTAAAAAAACTAAATAATTTGAAAATTTTAATTAGTTTAAAAATACAAAGCCCCCCCCCCCCCCCCCCCCCCCCCCCCCCCCCCCCCCCCCCCCCCCCCCCCCCCCCCCCCTATGTATTTGAATGTGCTGTTAAAGCTTCGTCTTAGATGGTTTAGATTAATGGAGCGTGCATTTGCGGTGACACGTCTTTTTAAGGAATAAATTTAATATTTTTTTAATCCAGCTCCTGGAACCTATATTTTACCCTTCTGGTTGCAAAGTAATTAGCCTCGGACATTTCTGCCTGTCGCCTACGTGGCACTCATCCCGTCACTTAATGAGAGTTAACTTTATTCCAAAAATATATTAATTTATGTTCCCGGTCAAAGTTTCATTTACTTCATCTGTAACACTTTTAAATAAATTACATCACCAACCTTATAGATTCCTCCTACCTAGCCCTTGTATATTTAAATGAGTAAATTACTATTATTGTTATGATTTAAAATATTCGGAAAGATTTCGAAATTCTGTATATTCCAAACAATAAACAATAATTGTGTGCTCCTATGATCCGTTTCGGGCGCATTGTTGCCCGTGGTCAACAAACTCGACTTCATCTTACAACAATCCCCTCCATTATTTTTTTTTCTTTCCATTTCTTAATTATCAATATTTTGTTTTTTAATACTTCAAATTGGGCTTTACAAATTTAGAAAATTTTCCACGTTTAATGAAAATAATAAATAATTAATTATACATATGAATGAAGGCAATGGTGGAAGCTTAACAACACCACTAATATAATGTGTAAAGCCATTTTTTCTACAATAAAAAACTCATAACAAAAGCGTGTAGTCATCATAATCATTACACTTCTCCTTCAATTTCCAAAAAATTCTTTTTTTTTTTCTTTCTAAAATTCTCGTCCTAATCCCCGCCTGACCCACGTATCTTTTTCTTCTTATCTTTACAGATTCCTATATAAATCTCCCCGCTCATACCTGCTCAACCACCATTTCCCAACACGGAGACTCAGATGGGTGGCGGAGGAGACGGCGGTGGAAGCTCCGGCGTCGGCGGATTTCGAAATCCGTTGAGAAATATAGAGAGAGCTTTAAATGAGGCAATTGCACGCAGCTTTGTGGGGAAATATTTCAAGCTTGAAGCTCGAAATAGCTGTTTTACTAAGGAACTACGAGCTGGTTTAGCCACTTTTCTTACCATGGCTTATATCATCACCGTTAATGCCAATATTCTTGCTGACTCCGGCGGCACGTGCTCAATGGCTGACTGCTCGGTGCCGGTGGACGGAACCGCTGCGCCGGACTGCATGTTCAAGCCCAATCCCGGGTACCAAAATTGCCTTGCGACAGCCAAAAGCGATCTCATGGTCGGCACTATTTTATCGGCCATGATTGGTTCGTTCGCCATGGGAGTTCTTGCTAACCTTCCTTTGGGGCTCGCGCCTGGTATGGGCCCAAATGCGTATTTGGCCTATAACATAGTGGGCTTTCATGGATCCGGCCCAATTCCATATCGAACCGCGTTGGCCATTTTGTTGGTTGAGGGTTGCGCGTTTATTGCTGTTTCTGCATTAGGGCTTCGTTCAAAGCTCGCTAAACTCATTCCCAAGTCGGTTCGGTTCGCTTGCGCTGCTGGGATTGGGCTTTTCATAGCCTTCGTGGGCCTGCAAGTCAACCAAGGATTGGGCCTGGTTGGGCCTGACCCGGCCACATTGGTCACACTCACGGCCTGTAGTCGTACAAATCCAGAAACCGGAGAATGCATTGGAGGGAAAATGCAAAGCCCAACGTTTTGGCTGGGGTCCATCGGGTTTGTAATCATGGCTTACGGTCTAATGAAAGAGTTAAAGGGCAGTATGATATACGGCATCGTTTTTGTCACGTTCGTATCTTGGTTCAGAGGCACGGCTGTGACGTACTTCCCTCACAGCCCACTCGGTGACGAGAAATTCAACTACTTCAAAAAAGTGGTGGACTTTCACAAAATCCAAACCACAGCCGGTGTTCTTAGCTTCAACGGCTTCAACAGAAGCCCTGTTTGGGTAGCCCTAGCGACGCTGTTTTACATCGATGTGCTCGCGACGACGGGGACGCTGTATACCCTAGCCGAAATCGGCGGATTCGTGAACGAACGAGGGAATTTTGAAGGCGAGTATATGGCGTACATCGTCGACGGTGGTTCCACGGTCGTCGCGGCGCTGCTCGGAGTTTCCCCCATCGCGACGTACGTGGAATCATCGGCAGGGATCAGAGAGGGAGGGCGAACGGGACTTACGGCTGTAGTTGTAAGTTTCTGTTTTATGCTGTCGTTGTTCTTCACGCCGCTGTTATCGAGTGTGCCGCCGTGGGCGATCGGGCCGTCGCTGGTGATGGTGGGAGTGATGATGATGAAGGTGGTGAAGGAGATCGACTGGGGAAATGTGAAGGAATCGGCGCCGGCTTTCATAACGATGATTCTGATGCCATTGACGTATTCGATAGCGAACGGGATTGTGGGAGGGATAGGGCTGTACGTTGCTCTGAGTTTATACGACCAGGTTGTGAGGGTGATGAAGTGGTTGGGGAAGATGAAAAGGGTTGTGGCGAAAGAACAGAACCAGGTATCGGCGAGTGCGGCTAACGCAGAGTTGGTATCTGTAGTTTAGATTACTTTAGGGACGGAGGGATGTGATTGATCTACTGGCAATGGAAGGTGTCGGCGGCATTAATTTGTGGGGATGCTAAGCCCTCCCATTGTAATAGATCAACCACTTAATTTTCATTTGCTGTGTGCTAATCTTTTGTTTTCGACTCCTAATCTAACGTGTAACCAAAATAATGTTTCCTTTTTTATTTTTTTCAGTTTTCTATTCCATTCCTTTTGTATTTTTTTTTTATCCTTGGTCTACTTAATCCACACTGAGACTTAACATAATTGTTAACACTCATGCCCTTCTTCATCAATTGAGACTCATTTACTTCTTTAATCGATTGGAATCTTCAATCCACCTCTTGCACACTATCTTGTGTCCACCCTTTTTTGTTGATATATCGATGTCTAACTTTAATGTTATTTGTAACAGCTCAAGCACTGATACCATTGTCTTTCTTTGAGTTTTTTGAGTTTTTTTTCAAGTTTTTAAATGCATCTAGTAAAAAGTGATTTTTACACCTTTATAAAGAATGCTCGTTCTACTCACATATGTATTTATCAATCTCAACATTTTCTTCCCTAGTAAGTTGGTGTAATGCTTTATAATACCATATACATATACATATATATATATATAAATAATAAACTAACGGCAGTACTCTTTATTGGTATAAAATGTGGTTCCAAACATCCACCGGACAAAATGATGCCAAGTAGGATTACAAGTGAGAAGATATAAATAACATTTACAGCATACCCCATCCAATCTGAGTACAAGCACAGGGTCACAGTCACACAGATTAATGTAAAGGGCTCTTTCTTATTGTAGCTTCTAATTTGAATGCAAAAAAGAAAAATGACCCCCTTCACGATTTTACGTGATGCATGTTACTGCTGTGGCTGTTTCTTTTTGCTCGCGCCGTGACTCTAAGAATAGCCTGACAGTCGAGGAAATGAGGCTGGGTTCAGCCATGGCACAATTGCACTGTTCCCCACTGCTCAACTTTGGTCGTATGAGAGCAATTCCAAGGTCATCAACAGACACAAGATGCCTTTCCGTGAAGGAGTTGTTCCACGTTAGAGCACTCATGGCAGGTGCAACAAAGAAAGGCTTGCTGTAGTCCCATGCTCGTACAATGCAAGTTAATAGATTATCACACAATCCTCCCGCAATCTAACAAAAAAATAGACAAGAGTTGAGATTTCCCAGACCACCATATGAATTCACATGGGAATGTTAAAAACAAAACAGAAAGAAACACAAATGCTTGGCAACTGCCCATGCCAAGATTTTTACCATTACGAGTGCAAACGAAGTCGGTGAGATCTTATATCGACTGGGGAGTAAAACAAAACATTATTTCTAAGGGTATGGAAATTTCTCCCTATCAAACGCGTTTTAAAAACCTCAAGAGGAAGCTCGGGGAAGAAAGCCTAAAGAGGACACAAAGTCCCACATTCATTACGAAAGAAAGCAATCGTGGGTATACTTCAAGTGATGCTAAGATTTTTACTTTTAGTCGTAACCGTTAAAGTCCCACATTGACTAGAAAAGGGAGTCATCATAGATGTATAACTTAGAACATCCCTTAAAAGCTGCATACAACTAACAGGCTGATTGACAGAGATTTTATTGCATCAAATGACACTGATTTCCTGCCTGTTAACTACATTAGTTTAGTTTAGTTGTTGATTCATTTATATGTGTAATTTGAAGTATGAGCCTAAAAGGAAGAATTATATAAATGATCATCTAACCTTTCCGAGTGTGTTTGCTGAGAGTGGAGCAATAACCATAATATCAGCCCAGTTGCAGAGCTGAATGTGAAGCACATCGTCACCAATTCTGCCCCAATTGATCCAGTCGTCCTCATCGCCGTAAAGATAGACATTCTTTGGGAGGGATGCTGGGTCAATAAACAACAATGCTGCCCTCGTGGCAACTGCTCGAACTTCTGCCCATTCAGAAAAACCGTGGCATAGGCTTTTAAACTTTACTGCACCAACACTTCCGCAAGCAGCAAGTAGAATGTGCGGTCTCTTTCCAGTGTTATTCACTTGCATTCTCCACCTCTCTGCACCTACAACTTCCTAAAAGCATTCAATTTGTAAATATACAAGGGTTTTGTTGTTGAAAACTATGTGCACAAAATTGAAGAGTCTAAGACAGTCCCAAGAATATGTCATCCATCCATAGGTCAGTATCAACAAATTACGAGAAGCTAAGATAGGCATAGCTCAGCTAGAGTAAAGTACGTACCATCGATGAAGAAGCCAGTAATCACGGATTTTCACAATGGTATGATATTGTCACTTTGAGCATAAGCTTTCATGGTTTTACTTTGGGCTTTCCTAAAAGGCCTCCTAACAATGGAGACAGTATTCCTTGATTATAAATCTATGATCATTCCCTAAATTAGTCGATGTGGGACTTTCATCCAACACCTCCTCTCGAACAAAGTACGTCTCCCCTTAATCGAGGTTCGACTTCTTTTTTTTTCTTTTGGAGTCTTCGAACAAAGTACACCATTTGTTCGATAATTTAGTCACTTTTTGACTATGTCTTCGAGACTCACAATACTTTGTTCGACATTTGAAAATTCTATTGGCATGACTCTGATACCATGTTAGGAATCATGGATCTCCATAATGGTATGATATTGTCCACTTGGAGCATAATTCTCATGACTCTGCTTTAGACTTTCCCAATAAGCCTCGTACCAATTAAAATAGTATTTATTGATTATAAACTCATAGGTCATAAACAAAAATTTCAGGAATCACACCATTTTTTTAATTGGTGATCACATGGTTAGCACTTGAATAATTACAATATTTAATTGAAATGTTCAAAGACAATAGATTTCAGAATCCAGTAACAGAATTTTCTCAATACAATAATAACAATGAACAATACATTTAACCTTCAAATCAACTTGTTTCATTGTGTGAGTATGAACTTTAGCGTTGACCAGGGATACTCGTACAGATCTTGAAGAACCGCTAGATTTATTAGAGAGAAAAAAAAAAAAAAAACAAGTATCTAAGAGTAGCCAATAGACAACATTAAGAAAAACCGATGACTTGATTCAGTGCCAGAATTCAGCCCAATGGCCTTGCAAAGTCACATAGATGGTACCCAAATTTAAAAACCAAAATTCCGTTATATTTTGGAACTTCGATATCCTTCATCAAACAAAGTTCTACGACGATTCTCAAAAAAAGATCGAAAATCCGAGATTGTTGGGATGTATCTCATTCTCGTCGCTTAGACGTTGAATTCTGTAGAAATCTAGGATTATTTCGAGAAAATGCGTAAGTTTAAATCTAGGTAGGGAGAAAGAAGGAACCTGATGGCCGTTTAGTTCCTCGGGAGGCCGATGACTGGAGCTCTAAAAAAAAATTAGCAGTCTGATAGGTGTTGTTTCCTCGGAGTATCAGAGAAGCTGTATTTTGAAGACTGAATATCACTCGAGCATCAAGTTGGATAAAGAGGGAAAATGGTGAATTTAAATAGAGGCGATTGTGTGACATAAACGACGCCGTTCGGTGACAATGGGCCAGCGAGCCCAATTCTTCAAGGGAAAAAAAAAAAAAAAAAAAAATCCTTCTAGACCAACAAATTTTACATTATGGGCCAGCGAGTCCAACAAAAATTATATTAATGCATATATTTTTGTTTCAATTAATTGGAATTTAAAAATAGAAATAAATGGTTAAATTAAGAAACATCACTATCAAATAAAATAATAATAAAAAAAAAATTAACATATTATTTAGTAATACATTTAGTTTGGATTTGTTTGTCACTAATGACTGGATGAAGGAGCTTAATTATTGAAGTGGACTTCCAGCTAACATCAATAAATGAACAGCATTTTTAATATAATTCTAAACCATTACGACATTGGCATTTATAAATGGTTATTACAGTAAATTTTCTTAAATAAATAAAAAAAAATAAAATAAAACGCGCCACATGGTCACATAAAGTCACAAAAATGCTTAAGTACGAAGTCAAGGAAAATATTTATAAAAATAAAAAAGAAGTCAAGAAAGATATTGAAAAAAGCAAAAAGAAAAATCAAAGAGCGCGTAAGAATTAGAAACGGAGGATGACAACCGTTGATTACCACCCCCGACCGGCGGATTCAGATTCAAAGCGTCGAAATCGATAGTGGGGCCACCCTAGGTTGTGAAGGGTGAATTGGTCATTTCACTAGGCGCCAACCAAACGCGAAAACGTTCGCTTTGTTCTGCCTTTACCGCCTCCGCTCTGCGTTTTATTGGATTTCTTCGTGAGTTAACACAGGTTTTGCTAAATGTCTGTAATTCGGAATTTCGTCTTTCGATTTTTGGGCTTGAGCTAGGAAGATTGGATCCGTAACTTTGGAGGTGAATTCGTTTAGTGGGGCTCTCGGTCGTTGATTTAGCGCCGGAGCGGAGCGTCATGGCGAGAGTTAACGACAATTGGGAGAGGCTAGTGCGTGCGACTCTGAAGAGAGAACAGCTCAGAAATGCAGGGCAAGGACATGGGAGGACTCCCAGTGGGATTGTTGGAGCTGTACCTCCTTCTCTTGGAAAAACCACCAACATTGATGCCATTTTGCAGGCTGCCGATGAAATCCAAGCGGAGGACTCCACTGTTGCCAGGATTTGTAAGTATTTCACCACTCTTCCCCGCTTATGTTTTATGTTTTTTTTTTTTTTTTTTTTTGAACTCCATTATGGGCATTGAGTTGGGTACCTTAGGAAGCTAGATTTCACCACCATCTCCATTTTTTTTTTCACACCTCGAAAATTTGTTTTCATTGTGTTCTTAATTTGGAAATCGACTCTATCAGCTGGTTTAAAGACTTACATATGAACGGCACATGTGTTTTAGTAGATGCCAGGGTGGGTGGGAGTGGGAGTGTGGTTGTGGATGTTATGTCCCCAGTTTGTTCAAACGGTCATCCAAATCATTTATGTATCATAGATAACACTAATTTTTATAATTTCAAAAAAAGAAGAAAGCAATTAAAATGTCATAATTTGAAGGTTTTCACGTCTTTGGCAGCAACGGACGCTGAAAGAGTGATGATGTGGAGATTTAGGTCCTGTTTAACTAGTTGGTTTTTTAAAAATAAGCTGATTTATAAATTCTACTTCCTCCGTTGTTATCTGCTGTTTTTAGAATCCAAGTCACGCTATAAAAA